TGTGTGTGTGTGTGTGTGTGTGTGTGTGTGTGTGTGTGTGTGTGTGTTCTACAAAACACAAACAGACAAATATTGAATGTTCAGCTCTTACCGTCGTCTTTAGACGGCAGCATGACGTGTGGATCCGTGTCATCGCAGCATGTCAGGCTAAAGGCCAAGGCTTCAGTGTGGAGTTAACGATTCATATCTCAGTCTGGCTTTTGTGTTTTTATATCTACGAGGTTATACAACAGACAAAAAAGGAACATGGGATTTCTGGAAGGGGGTCATGTGTGTATGCATTTCTGTGAAATGAAACATTTTGTCCTTTCACTTGTTGACGGGGACAGAAATCAGTCAGTCAGCAAGAAAGGAAATAATTTGGCTCCTCACCGAGATGTTGTTTTAGTGAATTTAACTTTTATTTTCTGACTTCAAACTGAATCCTTGTTGCATTTGTTGTCTCATTACAGAGTTTGAAGGTATTATGATTGCTGAGGTTAACGTGTATCCAATATTTATTGTATTCCATGTTTATTTGTATGCACTGGTGGAAAGTAACTCAACTTTGAGGTATGTGGGAGTATCTCCGTTGTCTGCTATACTTCTACTGCAATATTGTACTTTTACTCTGTTACATTTATTTAACAGCTTTAGCTACAAGTTACTTTAAAGATTCAGATAAATTATACAAAAAGCATTGAAATAGTAGGAATAACAGTCTGAGAAGTGCCATGTTGTTGTCAAATGACGACTTTTACTTTTGTTACTTGAGGAACATTTTGTGGAAGTTATTCACCTGAATAAACTTTTGAATGCTGTGCGTTTACTTGCGTTGGAGTATTTCTTACATTGAGGTACTTTTACTTCAGTAAAAGATCCCAATAGTAATGCGGAGGCTGTTGACTGTATGTGGCAGAGCAGATTAATGCAGATTAATAAAAGGCTAAATAATCATCAGTCCAGTCAAATATAAACCAAGTCATTCAATACATTTTTCAAGATAGTTTTTTATTAAAAATATTCAAAAACAGTTTCAAAAATACTTTCTTTAACATTTGAAATACATTACTGATACAGTTGAAATACCACGTGGAAGCTGTGAGTAACCTGTCTGAGGTTTAACAGAGGAGCTGCATGTGTTCATCGTTTGTCCTTTTACAGGACTGAAAGAAACGGTCAATATCATATTTTCACTAAATTCACAATTGGTCTTTGTAAATGCCACTGGACATCCTGGATAGTGCTTTCACTTGGTGCTCACTCAGTTCAGTGTCCAAATCACACCAGTGACAGTTTCCCATCTCATAGGCCTTGGTTGTTTTATCCTCCTGAAGATCAGCTGGACGCATGAAACGCAACAAGCCCCAGAGGAAAGTTCTTCTTTTTAGACTCTCCTCGTCATTAGTCCGTATAGTCCGAGTTCACAGTCCCTTCTTGCTCTGCAGGCTCAGAGCTCCGTTCACGCAGTACGGGACGATGCTGACGGCGACCAGCGGCACGGTGGCGCTCTTGCAGAAGGACAGCAGGTAGAAGAGGGCGGCGGTGTGCGTGGGAGGCTTGAAGGAGTCGAACAGGTGCAGCAGCACCAGAGAGCCGACGACGCAGCCGACTTTGCTGCTTTTGCTGCTGCTCCTCTTGGTCTCGGTGTAGAGGGGCGAGTGCAGGCCCAGGCCCAGGCCGAACAGGGTGCCCATGTTGCGCAGGAGGCTGGCGAAGGGCGTGGAGTCCAGGTGGACCCACTCGGGCTTCACGCACCACTTCTGGGCTTTCTCCAGGGTCCAGAGCAGGTCCACGCCCACGGCTTTGAGGACGAGGTAGAAGCCCACGGCGAAGGAGGTCAAGAAGAGCGTCGTGTAGAAATATTTCTTCATGCTGGCGCTGTAGATCCACTGAGTTCTGTTGAAGGCTTCGGCCACGATCATACCTGCAATCCATCGAAACGGCCCGGTCAATATCATGGGTTGTATTTTGAGAACATAAAGAAGAAATGAAGAAATATAGAGAAATATATAGCGAAGTGGGCAAACTAGATGGAATACATTGTTAATGTGGACAGACACACCATCACTTAATCCACAGCACGCATTCACACAATTAATGTAAAAGACATTTGCTTTATAATTGTTTTTAGTCAATCGTCGACTGAATTGAGGTATTAAAATATTTCCACACTGACCTGTGATGACGCCAGCGACGACCTGGTGGGGGAAGTGGGCGGCGATGAAGACCCTGGAGAGACAGACGCACACCTGGACTCCCCAAAACAGTGTCCACAAACCCGCCCTCAGATACCTGCCAACAACAACAACACACTTTCATCATTCTATTGTGAAAACTGAAGGTGCAGCAGATTTAAACCAGTAAAAGCCTTAAAGCAATATAACATTTAGCAGTTATTCTTAGCTCATCATGAGAGCTTCAGTTGCCTGGACGTTAAAACACCTCACTCACAATCTGCCCTTCTTTTTTCTCCAAACCAATAGTTCTCAGGAGTCAATGATCAACCACAGCTCAGAACAGATAGCGTGTTCGCAGTGATAAGCTCTGAGGGAAAGAAAACAGTGACCAGACTCACCACTCCTTGTTGGTGGATTTCTTGCCTCCATATTTCTTCTTGCTGGTCACGATGGTGAGGATGGAGGTCACCAGAGTGTAGTAGACACTGGCGGCTCCCATAGCGTGGCCAGAGGGGCTGCCTGGACACACACACACACACACACACAGATAGAAGTCAGTGGCTGATTTCCTCAACTACAGCAATGACTGCATGGTTCACTCATCATGTTGTTGTTTCAAAGTGACTGAATGAATTAATGAGTAACATTTTAGTTAGTTTTATTTAAGGTTTCCACCGCTGATTAAACCTGTGAAACATAACAAGGCTGGATTACTAACAGAGCTGGTAGTCGCCCATAAGCTTCAAGTTCACTGTGTGGAAACTGGTTTGTGGTAAAATATGTTTCAGTGCAAAACCAAAACAGAATATGAATGTGTCCTATTTTAGTAGCTGATCTTGAGGCCCTGTGTCCATACCTGCAGCTGGGTTTTGCACCCACATAAGTAGATTTATTTGCGTTTAAAGTTACCACACAGCAAACTCAGGAATGTGTAATATTCCAGGAGAGAGGGAGTAATGGGGGCCGTGTACAGTGTGTCATGTCTCACCTGGGCCAGTCTCACAGGTCATTGGATACTGCTCGAAGTGAGGCCGATCCCCGTTTGCATAGTGAGCCGTCTCATGGACCCACCAGTAAGGCCTCTCCCCAAACAGAATCCTGAAGATGGCGACAGACACATGCACTCCACTTAAGTTGGGTTTTTTTAATAAATAAATGTTCAGGACATTTCTAGTTCAAAGATTCAGCCCGCTCACCATTTGAACACCAGGTTGAGCCAGTCACCAATCACGGCCACCCAGATGAGCTTGATGCCCACTGAAGACCGCAGGTGAAACCAAAGCGGGAAGAAGATGAAGAAGGTGTTCCTGAGGTCTGCCGCCCAGGAGACCCAGAGGAACCAGCCCTGGGCGTCCTGGTAGTTGGTCTGCAGGTAGCGGGTGGTGCTCACCCCGAAACCCTGCATGGCGTCCATGACAGCATCCATCTTTGCCTTCGAGAGAGAGAGAGGGAGAAATCTCAGGCCGGTGCTGCGTGACAAGAAAACAAGAGTGCTGCTTATCAGTAACACAGCTGGTTGGTTTTATACCAGAGGGACCCACCACCCAAACGCATGCTCACACTGATCTTTGGACCTTGCATGTGTGCAATAAAACACCGGGAGTCAGGAGAGTTTGGGTGGTTTGTCACACAAACATGTTGAAAATAAAGCAGGAAAACAAGATGTGAATTGGAGTCTTTGTCAGCGGACTGTAAGCAGCATGGGGAGGAAGTCAGTCGACCAACAAAACAAACAGTCTGCAGAACAACATTCACTTTTTACTGAACTGCATAAAATATTTTTAAACATCTGCCAAGTCCTCTCTCTCTCTCTCTCTCTTGATATCCTCTCTTTCTTATGCGGGCAGCCACTTGAGTAATAATTCATCAGTTATGTAATTGTGTTCTTTTGATGATTTGGTGGAAGCATTTGTACGTTACATAAGGAGATCAATGATTAAATGATTGGCTTTGGAGGAGATAGTCGCTAATAAAACAGAAGGAGCAGATTGTCTACAAGTTGCTGCTCTGTGGTGATAAAACGAGGTTTGGCAGAGACGTCCCCCAAAGATGAGCTCATATTTGATCTTGTTTTGAGGGACACAATGTCATCATCTCTCACGTTTGTTGTCCTGAGAGGGAAGACACAAATGACGCACACTCCACACCATCCGTGGACCATTAGTTGGATTAATTGTGAGCCAAGATCAATGGATTTCACAAGCTTGAGCTCAGAACGGAAGCTTCATTTTCATTGATCAGATAAATAGTGATATTAAAAACAAGGTTTTCCTAGAAACCCGTGATCGGTCAAAAGGGGGCGGCGGCTGATTTCTGTAATGATGGATTTTAGCACAGGAGGCCTCGAGGGGTGTAAAGGTCTGCAGCCTAACAAAGGCAAACAAATTCACTAGCCTTGAGTAAAGTCCGGTGTGGATCACACGCAGAGGCAGGGTTAGAGAGGGGACTGTCTGGCCCGGAAGAGCTCGGCAGCAGCCTAACTGACCAAGAAGGGACCCAGATTTGGTATATCATCAGGCAGAGGTTGTGATATCATGGATCTCCTCCACAGCTGGGGGGTCGAGCTGTCGGCCCATCTGCAGGCCACGTACGGCCGGTATCAGGGCCTGTTCAGCCTGGCGTCCACAGTGGCCGACCTGCACACCACGTACTTCTACTTCTTCCCGATCTGGTTCCACCTGCGGAGGCACACGGCGCTCAGGCTCATCTGGGTGGCCGTCCTCGGAGACTGGCTCAACTTGGTCCTGAAATGGTAAAACGGCTGTTCGAGTCTGAGACACGTCAAAAGAGAAGAGTTGTGGTTTTTTTGAGTTCTCTTGGTGTTTCCCGTGGCAGGGTTCTGTTTGGGGAGCGGCCGTACTGGTGGGTTCACGAGACCCGGTTTTATGGAGCAGGACCGGCCCCGTCTCTGCAGCAGTTTCCCATCACTTGTGAGACTGGACCAGGTACAGTAGTGGATCACGTGACTTGATTGATTGTGTCTGTTCAGATCATTTCTTTAGTGTTTGACGAGTGCTCGTGGTTCTCTTTAAATGAAGGTGAATGTTATAAACTCCATATCTTTGGCGTTTTGTAGAGATTTCTATCTCTTCATTTATTTTTGTGTTGCACAATGTCTCCTTTTTGTTTGAAGCTCAAAGTTCAAACTCTTGGATTTTGTTTTCGCACCACTTTTTCATACTTTTACTCCACAAGATTTCAGAGGGAAATATTCATCAATCAACAAATCAAGTTTTATTTATTAATACAGATTTGAGCAACAAATAAAATGTGTATAAACACGAGAGACATTGCATACAATGAGACTTACTAATAAGCAATAAAAACCATGAAACTATAACATGAAATCATTTGACAGCTATAGTAGATACTCTGTATCTCTGCAGAAGAATGTCTGAGATTTGAAGTCTGAGTCTGTTGCAGGAAGCCCTTCAGGTCACGCTATGGGGGCAGCAGGGGTCTGGTATGTGATGATAACAGCGCTGCTCGCTGTTGCAACAGAGAAGCGATGCCCTCCGTTACTATACAGGTGAGTCTGTGAGGAAAACAATCATTCATCTCTATGAAACATCTAAAATAAAACTGTCATCTTGTGATTCATCTTTTGCACTCAGTATTCTGTCAGATTCTTGCAGATAGGTCTGTGGGTGCTAATGGGCCTGGTGGAGCTGGTGGTCTGCATGTCCAGGGTCTACATGGCGGCCCACTTCCCACACCAGGTAGTTGCTGGAGCCGTTACAGGTTAGTCTGCCCAAATACTGCAATATGTATACATTTTGCAGGGATGAAAATGAAGATTTATGGTGTACGTTGGGCTCCAATATCAGGGATGTGGTGAGGGGTACAGAGGTATATGCAGTAAAACCATGACTCACCTGATGGACCTGCTTCTATGTTTTTGTGTCAGGTGTCCTTGTCGCTGAGGTTGTCTCGAAGAAGAAGTGGATCTACAGCGCCAGCATGAAGAAATATTTCTACACGACGCTCTTCTTGACCTCCTTCGCCGTGGGCTTCTACCTCGTCCTCAAAGCCGTGGGCGTGGACCTGCTCTGGACCCTGGAGAAAGCCCAGAAGTGGTGCGTGAAGCCCGAGTGGGTCCACCTGGACTCCACGCCCTTCGCCAGCCTCCTGCGCAACATGGGCACCCTATTCGGCCTGGGCCTGGGCCTGCACTCGCCCCTCTACACCGAGACCGAGAAGAAAAAAACAAGCAGCAGCTTCAAGATGGGATGTATCGTTGTCTCCTTATTTCTGCTTCAGCTGCTGGATGGATGGACATTTTCTCCTGAAAATCTTATGACTTTCTACTTTCTGTCTTTTGGTAAAAGCGCAGTTGCACTTTTAATCCCGACCACGCTGGTTCCCTGGGCGCTCTGCTGGATTGGCGAGGGAAAGAAAGAAGACTAGAACTTGTGATTTCATGTCAACTTGTAAAGTTTAGAGTCAATTATTAGTTTAATTTTCTATGTTTACTGGGATTGTTTGATACTCAAGATCATTTAGACTTTAAGGACAATGTCCCTGGAGTTATTGTGCCGGCCTTGATATCAGATGAAGGAATATGTACTGTCAACAGTTTAGGAAATACGCTTACTCACTTTCTTATCAAGAGTTAAATGATAAGATTGATACCACTATGATGTCTGTACGATAAATATGAAGTTACAGCTAGCGGCTGGTTAGCTTAGCTTAAGGGAAACAGCGAAAGTACCAAAATGTCAATATGTGATTTTACAACGGGGTTTGTGTTAGGCTAATTTTGTTTTATATTTTGCTGGTTGCAAGAGATTTTAGCATTTTGTTCTACGATATTTAGAAGTTTTTACGTGTCTTAACGACTAAACGTCCTCACTCGCTCCTTTAATGTCAACAAGAGTGGATTTTTATACAAATGTAATTAGAAACTTAGAATACAAAAGTGCTTTTTCAGCTCAATGTTGTATAAATGATGGAATAAAAACAGCTTTTTATAACCACTTGCTTTCTGTAAAGACTTGTTTCTTTTTTTTCTCCAAATGTTCCAGAGTGATACTGCTCAATTATCTGACAGGAACAACCATTAAACATTAACCAGAGCACGCTCCCATCACACGAAGGTCCCGCAGAGTGACACAGCCTCCCACCACAGCCATTCAAAAGAGACACGGGGGGGGTCAAGGGGCAGAAAGACAACACGTGCGTCTCTTAAGGCTGTAAAAGCGGTGCGCTGTTCAGGCGACATATCAAAGCATGCGGCATGAGATCAGCAGGATTGCAGAGACAGACTCTGCAACACTTCTAATTATATTATAAACCGAAAGTAGTTATGTTAGTCACAAAAATGTTTAAAAAAAAAAAAAAAAGAACAAAAGCGAGGAAATTATGACCTATTATGAATCTTTAATGTACTTTAACATATTTTCATTGGAGATGAAAGGCAGGGTCAAGGTGAGACCCATTTTGATGACATAATCCGTGCAACATTTCCCAACTGCTAACTCCACGTCTCCTCTTCTCTTATCTCAGAGGGCTGCTTTGCTGTTTTCCGGTGCTTATCTGGTGAAGACATCCATATGGTGCTCTTATGACGACAGGGAGAGTAGGACATACAGAGAGGGGGGGGCACTACAACTGCTTCAGGAACATTATGCAACACTACGCTGTTTACATTTGTCGGCTCCGTGGTTGTTTTTCTCCGTCATGATGTACAGATCTAATTTTATCACCATTTTCCCATCGGGGAAGAACACGAACCTCAGTCTGAGAAAGTGTGTCAGAGGTTGAGCACATTTCCCAAATTGAATCAATTCAGGCTCTCAGCCCAAATAGATCTGCACAGATGTTGAGGTGAAAGTTTGGACTGACAAGGTGGGACAAATGTATTTGATAGATGTTCTATTCTAGCTTATTTTAAGGATATTATAGGCAAGTCTAAAGATGTATGCCAACACATGCAGGCGTGGACAACTTTTCTCTGCAGGTCGTCATTTTCGGCTTCATCATTTCCCTCTAAATTGTAGTACAAGTATAAAATAGCATAAAACTGAATTACTCCAGTAACATTACCTCAAAATTAATTTGACTTTCTCTCATAATCTACTGGCATTAACAGTCAATAGAGTACATTTTTATTAGATTTTCTTGGGGTTTAAAATGTTTTCATCTTTATACACTGAGGCTACACTAATGTGTATTTAGTGCAGAACTAACTGCACACAACACAAAGAAAAATCAAACATATACAGTATTATATCCGTATTTCTGTCTGTGTTGTTTCTTCCTTTCCTGCAGACGTACAGAATGACAGAGTGACATCTGCAGGTCAAGAGGAAACATACCAACGTTTTCCTCAGTTCTAATAAAAGGTATTTTACTGTGTGCCTGATATTTGCATGAAAACATCAACTTCTCTCCGACATCCAATAAGCAATTTTTGCAAAAACAGAAATGCCAGAAATGGTTTTCTTTTATCAAAAAACGTTTTATTGAATAGAACGAATGCCTCAACACGAGAGATGCTTGACTTATGAATTTTCACTGAAAACGAATAAGCCTGTGGATCTGAAACCTGCTTAGTATTCATATGTAATGACTACATTGTGTAATGTATAACATTCGGAGAACAAACTAAATCCACTAAACGCCCTTCCTCCAGATGAAGACGTCCAATATAAGACTTAAATAAACAGAAAACATTCAGTGAAATGAAACAAACCACTCGGCTCTGAATTCTTCTTAAAGATATAAATGAAACTATTTCACAAAGATCTCAGGACAAAATGTTCAATTCAAATTAAAAGATACAAAGCGCATCTCACCATTTTCCTTCAAAGGGTTTTTAAAACAAGAAAAATATTTTACACTTAAAACAGAAACATGTGCGTTGTGTCTGTCTATGTTTTTGTACCGGGTTGTGTTGATTGTACTGAAGTAGGTGGAGGTCTAGTTGTAGTCCAGAGGAACAGGGACTACAACTAGGGGGGGAGGCTGAGACAGCTGGATGAACATCAGTACAACGCGTCTGTGTTACTGCTTCGAGGCCTCTTGATCTTCTCAATGTTCTTCAGGATCATGTCGTGTAGCGTTACCTTCATGGAGAAATAGAAATACATTGTAATCACGTGGAAAATACGGCTTAAAAACACAAATAAATAAATATTAGACTTCAATATATAATAACTTACGTATTGATTTCTGAGCTCAGAAACTATGATCTTCAGACTGATGTATTCCTTCTCATCAATCTCGGTTACTGTGCGCCGATAGTCCTCCTAATAAATACATTATATAAAGTTATAATGTGTTAAAGTCATTCACTCAAACGTACAGCACGTCATTTCTGCCTCGAGGGGTCCTTCTCCTCACACTCCACTACTTGCTTTATAACAGCTGTTTTGTGATTTAGTTTATCTATGATCAGCTTCCTGCCTATAGAGTTACAAAATATCACGAGTGAAAGATCAACAATTAATGTATGATAATAAAAACATAATCAGAAGTATTAAATGTCCAAAAGGTCTACTTCATAATTCTTTTCAAATCATTTTCACTTACCACATGTGGATATTTAGCTATTTTAGAAACCAGCTTTGCCCTTGTGATGTAGTATCTAGAAGTAAAGAAGAAGAAGACAAAGATTTGCCTCCGACAGGTAAACTGGCTCAACAATGCAGAACCAAACTGTAGCAGATATAAGGGCTGGGTGTAGAAATAAAATCAATCTGTTGATATGCCGTTTCCCGTGGATGCGTGAAGCTTTAACCCTTTGAGTCTCGGGTGGCCAGCCTTTGGTTCTTATCGCACCAACATCTGGCCACGAGAGAGACGAGCTACTGAAACATCAGTGGTGATACTCAGCACTACAGCCATCTGGTGTGGCACCACGTCCATGCCTGATACTTTATTATGTAGAATTAAGACGTCTACAAACCTTGATGTCTGGTCGAGGTAAGACGCTGCCTCTCCTTCAACTGTTCTGAGTTCAGCTACCGTCTCCTCTTGGATTGACACTCCAAAGTTGTTTCCGTCTTCTATCCGGGGGATAAGCAGCTGCACCCACATCTTCACCTGCAGAGGAACAGAAACAAAACAAGAAACTGCTCAGAAAAAGCAGAAAGCAACATTTTCTTTAGCTGCCTGGAAAGGATTGCTCAGCATACATGATATCTTTCTTTCAACGATGTTCCATAAATGAATCTTCATTAGTCCAACACTTATTTTACACATTTGCAGCTGTAACACCTCATGCACTCAAAGTAAAATAACATCACCGAGGTAGTGCTCTTGTTTCATTACTTACTGTGTTACATTTCTCTATGAGCGTCCTGATCTCTGGTTTGACCTTCTCAATAAGCTCAACGAGGCTTCCGTTGCTCTTCAGCATCCCACCAGGCATGACGAAGACCTTGGTGCCCGTCACTGGGGGAAGAAGGAAAACGGGGTCAAATAATGAAGTTTCCAGCTTGTCAGGAGGAGGCAGGAATGACGGCTGTATCTAAATAAAGTGAAAGGTCTCATTGTCTGTTCTGTGATTCTCTTAACCGTTCTTCCGACAGCCTTCACACACTCAGGCGTATTTCTGAGGACCAGAGGAAGTGTTGAGTGTGAGCTCTGGAGATCTACAGGAAGGATTGTTTAGTAGTGTGTTGTGTACTCGCTGTGTAGTGCATTAAGAGGAGTCCCCCTATCAGCTGATACACGGCTGAATGGCATGCTGGGTACAGCTCGTTCTCCATCGACAGAATATCCATGACCGTACGTTCTCTTAAATGTTTGTGTGCACATGAAAAATAAGAGTAAAAGTACGGAGTCTGACGTCAACCCACACAGAGAACAACGTAACGTAACTGATCTGCCCGAACATTAAAGTATTGTTGAAGCAATATAGAGTTTTTGGTCTTAACTAAACCACATATACTTTAGGTATTTGTGAAGCAAATTTCTATTAACAACATGCTGCATACAGCTTTCTCTCCATCGCTTGTTACAATACATTAAAGAACAGATAAAGAAAGAGAAACTGGAGCTTAGGGGACATATTTATTAGTGATTCTCTCGATTTCTTGGACCTGGAATATACTTTAAATTGTGTACATCCAGCCAGAAAACAGTGTGTAGCATGGAGGGTTCTTTCACTTTAAGTCTGTTTGACCTCTTTTACTCACCCATGTCCTCCCCACCTCCATCCTCCAGCTTTCTCTTTTTGGCATTTTGCTGTGGAACAAGAGAACAACAGACTCAGGCTGCACTCTCACACAGTAGTTACTAAAAGCTTCCAGGATTCAGTTAAGCTCTGTCGTGGAGCCTCACCGCTTCTAGTCCGTCTTGCAGGTTTGAGAGCAAAATGGGGTCCGGCACCGTCAGGTTTATCTCCGAGTGTATCTCCTTCAGGTCAGCGATGTTTATGATTGGATCCTGAAAAACATCAAAGATACTAGCTGAACATCTTTCATTTACAAACTATGCTCTGCACCTTGAGAAGATTACTAGACGTACTGAACACTTCTTGTCTTTGTAACAACTTTAAACCCAAAATGGACGAACTATAAACCGAATGAACTCAACTACCCATAAACATTTTCTCTGTTACTTTCCAAGAAGCTTATTTTATCATGAGATATAGAGTATATACATCTACAGAGATATATTTATCAAATAACACTTAAAGATGTAAGACTATACATTGTGTATTTAGTTGAATGAACCTGTAACTGACCTTTAAGAAGTGGTCAAGCTCCAGCAACTTCTTTGGGAAAAAACTTGCAACTAACTCTTCTGCCTGAAAGAAATGCAAACTTTTAGTGGCTTAAAAACCAAATGTTTTTTATAGCCGTGTGTGAAACAGCGGCCACAATATATCTGGTTTTAGATGTTAAACGATACTTACTTCTGAAGTGATTCGTTCCCTGAAAGCGTCAACCTGCAAACATGAAAGACAAGAGTCCAAATATCAGACCAGCTGCAGCAGTGAATATGTAAATCCACTCATGTATTTAGCAATGGTGCAAGTAACCAAGGACATCAACACAAGCACTTAAGTACACATTTGAGATAGAAGTAATTTACTTGAGTACTTCCCTTTTCTGTAACTTTATACTACACTACATATAAGAGGCACATCTTTAACTCTTTTCTTCACTACATTTGTCTGACAGCTTTAGATACTTTCCAGATTACAATATCCATTAATGTCAAGTTAAAACACAACAATTGTAAGTGAATGTTTTTGCTGAACTTAATGTTTCTTTATGTGTTGATAAAATTATTATTACAAAAAGCTAAATACAATTATTTAAAAACCCAATTGGATGAGCTGGAAAATGCATTATCACAAAGCTGAAAACAAACAGCGACACTACAAACGTACGATGATCTTATAGAATATGATGCATTGCTGGATATTAAACTACCCAACAGCATATAAAGGAGTTACAATCAGCACAACCTTAAACATATACAGCAGTGGAGTCAACATACACAATAATGCAGCAGTAGTATTAATCCAGAAACATCATATATAAAAGTTAAACACTGACAGGGAACATTTTACTGCACAATGAGTACTTTGACTTGTGTCACTTTAAGTAGATTTTACTGAGAGATATTTTCGTTATGGAGTACTTCGACTTGCAATGAAGAGGTTTCACAGTGTTGTAGTGCTTTTAAATAAGTATTATTAAAGGATATGAACAACGTTAACGTTACTTCTTCCACCACTGATATACAGTTATCACCATGGACTCTACACATGTAGCTAGAATACATGTTTAAAGCTATAACATCATAACATGACGCAGGTGTGATAACGGTAGCTTGTTGAATAGGTAGACAGACAGATAGACAGACAGGTGTAACTTGTGACAAGATAGCTAGACAGGTAGATAGATAGCTAAATAGACAGACAGACAGACACTTTATTTATCCTGCAAGGGGAAATTTGTTCGCTACAGCAGCATTATGGTACAGGTAAAGCAATACGAGTAACAGAGAAAAAAATATTAAATGTAAAAAAATACTCAATATATACAAAAAAATAGAATAATATTAAATTAATTAATAAATTGGCTAACTTGGTAGCTAATGCCTTTTTGGGGCATATACTCCTCCAATATGAGTTATTTTTACGCTGTAACGTAAACGTCCCTTTAGATCAACATGGAGCTTCACGTTACTGTGACACTGCACCTGTCGGGAGGTTTGACAGGTGTGTTGTAACAAGCCGGTTAGCCGCTGTTAGCTAGCTGCTATTAGCCTTGAGTTCTCATAGCATGCTACAAAAACGTGGCTAACATGCTAGCAGGCAAAATGGCAACAACACGTCGTATAACCTCAACTAGAGCTTCCAAAAACACAAACCGTACCTTGGTTTTAATTTCATTGTCCACCTTGAGAAGTGAAGACATCTTATGTGATCAAAATAGGCGAAGAAACGATTGTTCCCAACAACAGTGTGGCTTATTTTAGCTGTCAGCCACACTTTTGTGAGCTTAAAGATGACGTCATAGACACGCGACAGAGGGAAGGGGGAAAACGATGTTTTGACTGCGGCTGCGCATCGTATTTTTATTTTTATTTTTTATTTAATTTTGTATCACTATTATTTGGTTTGTTTTATTTTGGAGTAAAGATTGTAAGGCTATTGTCTGATCCACACTTCGGAGCAAAAGGTGGCGGTAATGCACCAATAAGATGGATGCCAACCGTCGTAAAACCAGAAGAAGAAGAAGAAGAAGATGTTTTGACTGCGCCTGCGCGGAAACGTCATCGTATTTTTCTTGACGCAGCTGACGATGTAAACAAGAAAAGACAGTCGAGGGCAACAGGGATCAAATAGGCCGGTGTCACCGCAAACGATCGCCGTTATATGCTCATAAACGGCTGACATGGGGCTGCCTGTTACGATTAAAGTGAATTTCCGGGGTAATGTGAAGAGATTTCTGGCTCAGGATTTGGACAAACTGGAGTGGGAGTCCGTGGAAGCCTGGGTGAGCTAATGCTAGCTAGCTGAGCGTGTTGTGGCTAAAAACGCTGGCGCAGTTTGGTGAAAAGCAGGCCCGAGACGTGGCCTAGACACGTAAACAATAGACCACCTGAAGGACAGTCGACACTGTCGCGACACAAATGTACACGAGTGGTAATCTTCTTAAAATAGCTTCGAGAAATACGAAAGGAGAGGGCACAGTTCACTATAATGCGTTTGTTACAGTAGCTAGTAGAGGTATTTTTCAACGTGCCATTATTGATGTTTTCATATCACGCCCGAGGGGGGTGGGGGGGGAAAGAAAAAGTTAATATTTAATAATTTTCTCATCAATCCACTCTTTATATTTCAGATCAAAGCGTCTTTCGGGATCAACCACTTTCAAGTGAAATACTTCGATGAGGATAACGACGAGGTAAGGGAGTGTAAACAAATGTGTGTGTGTGCGTATCTACCAATGGTGGAATGTGAGAAAGTAGAGAAAGATATAGTTACTTTAGTAATCCCACAAGGGGACATTTTGTGTACAAGTACATTTTGTGTACAAATTCAAAAGTACATGTACTTTACTTGTTTATTTCCATTTTATACTTATATTTTTCCTCGCTACATTCATTTGGCAACAGCACTTTGCAGATTCTGACTATCAACTAACAAATTATGATGTATTATTATGGATTAAACTAGCTGAAATTAGACATATATACTTACATATTTATCAGGGACAGTGCACATTTATCAATATTTAAGTTTCCACCTCAGTGTAAATGTGCCAGAGTTAGCTAATGAGCTCATTTTTATCTGTAGTCCCTAGACAGTTATTACAAATACAGCCTTAGCACACAATGCAAAAATATACTATAAAATACAGTAAAAATAGATTCATTACAAAGGTAGAAGATAGATAGACTTTATATATAACAATACAGAGATGAGGTAGTATGTTTACAATATAATATATGTAATATTATTCTGAAATGAAGAATGCAAAACTTTTACCTATAACAGAGTTTTTCCTACACTGCTGCTACTTTCACTTTAGTAAAAGATCTGAGTACTTCTTCCACCACTGGTTTTGACATTCATTGCAAACTTATAATGATGTTTAAGTTCATTGACTCATTCTGATCTCATTTGCTCTTTTATTTCAGATTTGTATAAACTGTCAAGGTGAGAAAAATACTTGTTTTCATGACGTATCTGAAGTAGAAGATAAGCAAGAAACGTGAGATAAATATTTAAATAGAAATGTTGATGGCTAGATGGTAAATATCACTGTTACAGCAACGTAGAGAAAAAAGACAATGAGCATAAACACCATAAAATACTTACAAACAATAATGATCACAAAGCAAACTTACTGTTGATTTGCTTTTTGTTTCAGATGAATATGAAGAAGCCATCAAGGTACTGGGACACTGCTGGATTTCTGTGGAATAGCGAAGACGATCTTAAATTCAACCGCACATAACAATGTCACTAAGTACACAAGTAACTACACAAGTGTAGAGATCATGAAGAATATGGGAAACTTTAAACATCAGTAATATCAGTAGAAGTCAGTCAACCTTCTCTGCATGAATGAAGAGAGGAAAGAAAATACTCTCTCAGCACAAGACAAAATATGACCTCATACATCATATAGACAAGATGTTCTTTGTTAGTGTACTTAGTACAAATATGTACTTGTTCCAGTGTAGCAACGTTCACATTCTTGTGTCGTGTGTTTGATTCGACAGAGCGCAGAGAAGCAGGGGAACCAGTTGCACATGAATGTGTACAAGATGAAAGGTCAGGCCTGTGGAGGCCCACTGAAGACGGAGGTGAAGGAGCTGAAGGGAGACCTGCGGCCTGCTCCTCCTTATCCATCGAGGGTCAAAACGGTGGACAAAGGAACACAGGTCACCCCAGAGAGAGAAGCTGTAAGGAACCAAGATTATCCTCCTCTTCCTCTTCCTCCTCTCTTCTTCTTCTTCTTCTTCTTCTTCTTCTTGTTATTATATCCTCACATGTGCAGTAACTTGAGCCACAGTATATTTACATTCTGCTACTTTGATTGTTTTGGATCCTGTTGTGTCACTTCTGGAATAATTTTGATGTGGTTATTGCCTTAAATCAAAAAGGAAAGTTCCCTCTTACCTGTTATTTTTTTTATTGTTAAATTATATTTAAAACAAATGTACATTTATTTTTAAATGATTAATTAAAATGTTTAAAACATTTTTTTTGATTATTTTTTTAATTTATTTTATTCGTAATTGTTATATATTGTTAGACATTGTTTTCGCAGTTTAAGTAGGAACTATTTTCTCTCTACCGAACTACACCCGTCCACCGTATCACCGCGCAGGAGGACGCGTCCATCTACATACGCGATACCGTTAGCTCACCTAGCATCACCGAGCTAGCTAACGTTACGCCATTGATGTTTACATCTCGCGCTGTCACGAGCAGTAGGAGACGGACGCTGTCTTCTGCGCGGTGATACGGTTGGCGGGTGTAGTTCGGTTGAAAGAAAATAGTTCCTACAGAAAACTGCTAAGAAACATCGCTTTTTAGTTTTTGAAATATATTTTTGGCGCTTTGAGAACCACAAGCTGAGTGTCATCGAACCAAAACAACCTAGATGTATTATTAGCACTAACTAGAGATTTGGAGGTGAACTAACAACACTCTATAATTGCCTACATATTTATCTGACAATATAGGACTTTTTACAGGATTTGTGGTGTCAGTTTGTGTGTAATTATTAAAAAATAATTGAGCATGTGTTTGATGCCAGCCTGATGTATTTTGACACAGGTCACAGTAAAGGACAACAAGGGGAACAAGCCAGAAGATGAGCCACCACCCATGTGGTTTAGATCATACATGGAGAAGGTTAGATTTAAATATATATACATATATATTTAGTTTGTTGCACAATTAATATAAAGGTCATGTTTGGCTCTTACGAACATAAACTCTTGTTTTCATAGTTTAAAGATGAGGTGGTGAAGGAGGTGGTGGAGAGGATGTGCAGCGACTTCTCTGGCCAGTGTTGCACCCACAAGTCATCCGACGGGCCCCTGGAGGCCAGTGGGGCGAGTGGCGGTCCTATAGGGCCCAGACCGGGCCCCTCCACCTCGTCTGGGTCCCTCGGCTACACCCCGAACTGCAGCAGCTGCCACAAACTCACCTCTGAAGGGGCGTACAAGTGCAGGTACGGCCACGAAGATAAGGTTCATAAGAATCAGGCGGCAACAAAAGTGCATTAAAGCTGCATTCTCTCTACTGACCATCAGGGGGCGACTCTGATTGTATTGAAGTCTATGAGAAAATTATTCTACTTCTCTCTTGATTTTTTTTTACCTCAGTAAACATGAGTTTATGGTCTCAATCTCTAGTTTCAAGTCTTCTTCAATACAGCATGATGTACATTTAGTAAATTATGGTCCATTTAGAGTCAAATAGACCATAAAGCAGAGTATGCTTTAGGGCGCTATCGGAGCCGAATACAGCAAGTCGTTGACGGACAAAATCGAGTTTGTTCTTTGACTATGACATGATTTGTTCTGCATGTCCTGTGTTCTTTGAGCAGCTTTATGAGTATCCATATCAATGCTTTTGTTGTCCCGTTCCCTGCCAGTGTGTGCCCGTCCTGCATCCTGTGTGAGATGTGCAGACACAGCCATGACCCCAGCCACAACCTCGTGAGAACCAAGACACCTCTCTCCATCCCTGAGCATGGAATGTCGGGAGAGTTGAGGTAAACCCCCTCCCCAAGAACCGAGGATCAATCTTCCCACTTCTTGAAACTATAAGACATTTGTACTTGCAACAGTGCTAGCCCTTTTTTCTTTTTTTTTTGCTATCACTTCTTCTGCATAAAATGGAGAAAAGCATAAATAAGAATAGACGCAAAGCAGGACTGCAAAAAAAAAATGTTTTAGCAGCTAGATTACTGTAATCATGAGTGTGTATGTGTGTTGTTCTTGGAAAATAAACTCTTGATAGTCAACAAATAGGTGTTCCTGATGACATTTCAAACCAGGTTCCCAAGGCGAGGAGACAGGACAGTGCGCAAGGCCGAGCGACAGCGCCTCAAAGCTGAAAGGAGGCAGCTCAGAGCTGAAGTGAAGGAAATCAAGAAGAAACTGAGAGTGGAGAAGAGGGGGCCGCAGTGGAGCGGGCCTTCTACCTCAGGCAGAGCCAACCTGACACACACGGCCTCCGCGTCCACGCAGGTCCCGGCCCTGCCCCCCCCTGCCGCCTCAGAAACAGCCTCAGGTCCAGCCTCAGGTCCAGCCCCGGTCCCCGATCCCCAGGCCTCCAGTCCAGAGTAAGCGCCACCTCGGAAGGGCGTCCGACAGTGCTGGGTACCTCGAACCCAGCATGGATGCAATAAAGTCCCCCTTTTTTTTTTTTTTTTTCAAGAAACAGAAATCAAAAATATGCCATCTTTGTAATCTAGTTTGTATGAGTGTGTCGCTGGCTGCTCTGGGGTGGTGGAAAATGTTGGAACTACCTCAATGTGAAAACTGCTGCTGCTGCTTCATAGATTTTCTAGGAAAAAAAAATTGCTTTTGAGCTGCAAAAAAAAAAAAATCTGGGGTCCTGCTTTTTTGATTCGTAGAGAACAAAAGAGAGATGGGTGTGATAAGAAACCAGGGCTATTTTCAACAATGCTCTGTACACTTGAAACTAGGGGTCCCGGGGTCTCGCACACGTCCTTGGTTCCCACAATGGCCGCCTTGTTTCTGGATGAAAATCTGCCGGACGGCACCCGTCTGGAGCCTGGAACCAAGTTCATCAAATACTGGAAGATGAGGAACTCGGGCACTATCAGCTGGACGTCAGAGACCAAGGTACCCCTCCCACCCGCCGAGAAGGACCGCTCCGCTCTCTCTTTGCTTCCCCCCCATCCCCATCCCCCACTGCTTCACTTCCAGCTTGAGTCCTCGCTCAGCTCATTGCCTTCTTCTTATCCTCTAACACCAGCTAAGATGTCTTACCCAGCCTAATACAACTAATGCCCTTTCTGTGTAAGATGTTTATGATTTGAATTCAGTTGAATCTGTGTTTTAAGATTTTATGTCTTTGTACGAATGTGTGTGCGTGTGTGTCCCTCACTTGAGCCATTATTATTTTCCTGCCCTAGTGACTCTGGCTGCATGCTCTTGTCTTTGTGCTTTTTTTTCGCACGTGGATTCCTATGTTGTGTTTTGTGTGTACGTGCACCCAGCTAGTGTTCATGTGGGGGAACCTCGGCCTGGCGTCAGAGGAGAGGAGGGAGGTGCCCGTCCCGTTGCTGCTGCCGGGACATGTGGGAGTGGTCAGTGTGGCCTTTGTCGCTCCCGTGACGGAGGGGACGTACACCTCCCACTGGCGGCTGGCGCACTGCGGCTGTCAGTTTGGCCCGCGCGTCTGGTGCAGCATCGTGGTCGACGCCGGTGACTGCCGCAACGCAGCCGGGCACCAGAGCAAAGGACCGGCAAGTCTGATACCCAATGACACCCTGTAGAGCTGCAGCGACAGCGTCAACTATTGACACGCGCGTCTACACTACGGCTTTATTTACCAAGTAGATTCACTCAAGTGCTGTACCCAAGTACAACTGTTGAGGTACTTGTACGTTACTTGATTTTATGCTACTTTATACTTTAACTCCACTACATGTATATGTAGTTACTGGTCATAGAGATTATGGTTTTGCATAAAAAGAAATGAACAATCATCCTGCCAACACACCGTCCACCGGTTGCAACAGTCCAAATGTAAATCCACTCATTCCTCCCTCGCTGAACGCGGTCGCAGAGTTAAGGTTCATTAGACTTGAAGTGGGTTCATTGAGCCGTGGTGGAAAACAACCATAAATACTGTAATTAAGCACAAACTGAAGGTATGTACTACTTTATGCACTTTCCTTTCATGGAACTTTAGACTTGCAATTCAGAGGGAGTTATTGTATTTTTTACTTCATTTTATTTATTTGAAAAATACAGTAACTAGTTACTTTGCAGATTAATATTCTACATTTAACAATCATTGGATAATCTTATAAAATACTCCAAATATTTCTGATTAAACTAGTAATTCCCAGCTGGTATGAAGGTTTTGAATGTTACTTACAAAAAGTCTGGAGCCTCTTCTCACGTTTCAGATGATCTTCTGTCTCATATTGTTTCATTTAAATAAAATAATTTAAATAACAGTTTGAGGCCCAAAGAGGGAAAAACATCCAATATTTTTTACATAAAAGAGAAAAGTTAAAAAACATGAAAACAGATTTGTGTAGCAGAACTGTATTTCTACATTGTGGTTTCAAATATTTTTATTTGTGCAAAACTTTTGTCATTTATACAATTTTGGGAATTACATTGTTTACTGATTAAAATAGAAAAGACAGAATAAACCAGTCACACCACTGTATTTTTACATTATATATTATATTTATGGATCGGAGTACTTCTTCCACCACAAATACTTTTTCTTTAAAGTATCTAAATATCAAATTAAGAGTTCAATGTGAATATGTCCGTATAAGACGGTCTGTGTACGTCCTGGTTCCAGAGTAATAAAGGAACCATTTACTGTGAACATGGATGTTTGTGATTAGGATTTGAATCCTTAAAGGGACAGCGCACTCGTGTGTTACTCTAGAGCTCCTCTCTCAGTGCACACTGTCCTGATACTCATGATGCCATTCTTGTGTGTGCTTCAGAAGGAGGAGGTGAAGGAGCAGGAGGTAAGGTCCCAGGACAGCGGCTCTGGTTTCCCTGTAGACCTGAACCACGAGGACTACTACTTCCCCTCGGTCGACCTGCTGACTGCACAGGTGCACACTCACAAAACGCCTGATATCAGCTCCCTGCCACATGTAGTTACAGTCAACACTGCAGATTGATCAGCGATCAGGAGAACCGCGTTCATACTTCCTGCATGTCTTCGGTTCTTTTAGGATCTGCTGTCGTTTGAGTTGCTGGATATAAATATTGTGCAAGAGCTGGAGAAGGTTCCTAACAACACACCTGAGGGTACGTAATGAATGATGCTTCAAACACTGGAGAAAATGATTTAATGGAAGGTTCATTCTGTAACTTAACTCCTTCCAAACCTTCCAAAGTGATTGCTACACGCTAATATGCATATCCTCTAGTTTTCACACTGTGTTGTGTGTCCACCTGCTCTGTAGATTTGACTCCCTGCATATCTCCTCTGTCCCATGATGCACCGGTGTTGGAGAAGGCCATCATTGCACGGATTAAAGAAGAAGCCGAGGTCACGGGGGTCCGAAAGCTCTTTGGTGAGAGGGGTCGAGAGTACGGTGTGTGTGTGTCTAACAGCACGGATGTGAAGTGAGCTGATGCAGCTTCAGTGAGAGAGAGAAAAATAATGTCTGTAAGTAGGTCGTGGATTATTTAAGCAGAAACGTCTTTAAGCTGATTAATAATAAGTCAACTCTCACTGGAGACATTTTAGATGTTGAGCTACATTTTAACTCCACCAATTTCATTTTTTTAGGCTAGCTAGGCTTTTGAGACAACTCTCAGATTGAACTGTCAGCGATTGAGTTGCATTGTGGGTAATGTAGGCACCTGATTATGACAGGAAAGAAGAACGGGTGGAGAAAGAAACGCTGGTTCCGCTGTGAGTGTGTCAGTGATGTGAATCAGTGGATTCCTCTTTTATTGTTTCGTCTAGGAGTCAAACTGAGGCAGCAGAGGGAGCTGCTGGAGCCTGTGACCCAGGAGGAGGACCGGGAGGAGGAGATCAGTGGAGCCCAGTTCCTCTGCGAGACGGTGATCCGCTCCCTCACCTTGGAGGAGGCCCCCGATCACAGACCCCCTCGCAGAGCCCAGCACAGCATCCACAAACCACAGGGTGAGGAGCCACATTGTTGTTATATGCTGTCACCAAAACCATCACATTAGTGCAGCACATGCAGTATGATGAGGTACTCAGACGTTTGCTTTTTTATTCCAGTTGTTTCCCGCGGCACCAGCTTCTGCTTCGAGAGAGTCGTCGAGGTCGAGAAGACGGAGACGGTGCAAGAAGGAAGTGAGGAGATCTGCGCCATTAGACTGGAAAGTTCAGCTCTGCCTCTCCACCAGCTGATCCAGGAAGATGAGATAAAGCCAGGTAAGAGGACAGCTTCCAGGATTCTTGTTTTTCCCTCATGGCTTATTTTTCTGTTGTCTTTTCTGTTGAATACATTGACACATATTTAAAAAAACAGGTTTGATTTAACTTCAGAATAAGAATAGTGAGTTCTATAGACAGTTGTATGTTGTAACTTTTGTAGTAATGAGTTAATTGCTATTTTTAGATGCTTATTTTTTTCCTTCAGTTCTTCTGCCAGAACCAGCAAATGAAAACCTGCATATCAGTTCACATGATGTCGAGGAGGAAGAGGTTCTGGTCCTGGAGGACATGCAGAACATGAGGGATGTTCACGAGGAGAAAGAGGAGGGTGGAACCAAAGGAGAAGACTGGGAGGAGGTGAGGTTTTAAACCCTCATATACTAACACTTGTGTTTTAAAGGACGAACTGATCACACATATTTTCAAGCAATGATTTTTAAAAGGGAAGATCCCAGAGAAGAATGTTGATTCTGATACACAATAAGATTGTGTGTGTGTAGTCGTTGTAATGAAGTCCGCCATCTTCTCCTCCTTCTCTGTCTCAGGTCAGCAGCCAGACCTCCTCGGTCTCCTCCTGCGACGATTACATCATCGTCCTCCCAGACTGCTTCGACACCAGCCGGCCTCTGGGCGAGTCCATGTACAGCTCCGCCATGTCGCAGCCTGACGCCGCCGCTGAGACCGACTCAGCCGACCCTGAGGCCGACTCAGCCGACCCGGACGTAGAGCAGCAGCTGCAGGAGGAGGAAGAGGTGGAGGAAGAGGTGGAGGAAGAGGTGGAGGAAGAGGAGGAGGAGGAAGAGGAGGAGGAGGAGGAGGAGGAGGAGGAGTCCGACTCCGAGGTGGCACCTCTGAGAGAGAGGCAGAAGGAGGCGGTCGACGCTGAGGATTCGCCCGTGAACACGTGGCCTCCGGCTGTCCCGCCGAGACACAGCAGCGTGAACCAGATGCTGTGCGCCTCCCAAACGCTGGACGCCGTGACGCTCACACCTGAGGTGGTTCCACCGCCGCCGGTGCTGCCGGAAGTCCTGGTGCCCCCACCGGCCCTCTACTCACCCAGGTGAGATCAGTCAAACGGTCCCTGTGCAGCTTAGAAACCTGTCTACAAACGTCTGAACAATGTTATAGATATTTTCTATATATATTGTGTGTATTTAGGCTGGATTACTGAGAGACTTTATGTTCTCTTGCTTCAAACTGCTCCAAACACTGTCAGGTATACACACAAGTGAAACGGGATTCTTAGTGTTAGTTGGTATTTTGAAAGTGAAAAATGTTCTTGTCGTAACAACAGAAAGTGAAGAACTAAATGTAAATAAATATGTATAATCGAAAATATCATGCATTTCCATCTGTTTTTTAATTTCTTTCATAAAATATTCACATTTTGGGTTTCCTGGATCTCCCTGCTTATTATTATTTACTGTGTTCAGGTCTGAGGCACTGTACCTGGCTGAGGACCCCAGTCCTCCAGCCTGTGATCCATATGAGCCACACCAACCCAGGGTCCACCTAAATGGTGAGTTTTACTATTTGAATCACTGGATAGAAGCAGCGTATCATCAGTACTCAGAAGCAGTATTAATGTCTTTACCAGTGTTTTTAAGGTGTTACATAAATGAGACTTTGATTGTTTTGACTTCAGCGTTGCATCACAGAAAGGAAACATATTTTGCCCTTTATGGGAAGACAGGAAGTGAGATAACACGCACGCTTCCAGGATTCATTGCCTCAGCAGAATGCTCTGTTCCTCCTCTAATATTATTTCCTTTTTTACTTCTGTTCTGCAGTATCATCTGGTCTGTCAAGATCAGCCGGCTCAGCATCCAGTGCCTTTGAGACGTATAACCCCAGACCCAGCAACGCTTTGCAGCCAAGGTGCATTACAACAACACGTAAAATTAAATTCTCTTTCGTGTTTCATCATCTTTTTACGCAAACAACCCAAATAATATCTAGACGTCTGACTGGAACACGTCGTTCTCTGACATCCTCTTATGTAACCCATAATAACCACATCCCTGTTTTTATACAAGGGGCCAAGGAGGCATCACAGAGGGACTCGTCAAGGGGGCCCTCTCTGTGGCAGCGTCCGCTTATAAAGCGCTCTTCACTGGACCAAACTGCTCGATACAGGTACATCACACAGACACTCTTAGTCCTACATGTTTAAAATCACCCAGCCGTAATGTGCAATCTTTAGTTTGTGGTAAGTTGAGGATTCACACCAGTCTGGAGGGCTGAAGAGCTGTCCAAAAATGTTATCAATGTGGGAGGAACATGTGTGAGATGTCACATTTCCAGGATCTCATGAGTTTTTTTTGTGATCCCAAAGTTTCATTAGCGTTTCCCCAAAAATGTGCTATAATGCAACAATTTAAAAAATCTGTAAATTCTGATCATATTTAAAGTGGGAAAATCTATATTTTTATACCACCAATAGATCTAATTTCTATACTTGATATGAAAGACGTTGCTTGTAGTTATTTTTTATTTTTATGTGGAAATACGTGATAAAACTGGAAAGCATTGTTCCAGTTTGACGGGGTTTGGGGAGCTGCAGGATTGAATTCACATTCATTCTTGCAAAGAGGTTTATGCATCCGACTAGTAGTGGCGAGGACAGACAAACTCACCCACACAATATCCCCCCCCCCCTCTCCGTTGTGTTCCAGCGAGGCATCGACCCGGCCACCAGGCAGGACCCTTCCCTGATGGCGATGCTGCTGGAGATGGGCTTCAGAGACCAGCGGCTCAACCAGCAGCTGCTGAGGAAGCACGGCTACAGCCTGCTGCACACCGTCAACGAGCTGGTGCAGATGGCCGAGGACAGCCAGAACAGAGCGGTCAACACTCACCACTGAGGGAGGGGGGGGGGGGGAGACAGGCTACTGAGAGGCTGTGGAAGCATTTGAACATAATGTAAAGAGAATATTTAGATTATAACCTGCATATCTCTCACCCTTTTACAGTATTTAGCTTTATTTTGAAAAGAGGAGACAAAGAATTCACAATGGGTGCAATTGATTGATTTACCAAAGGGTGGCTACTTTATTTGGACCAAGAGTAACGATAACGAGACAAACGCTGTTGATTAACTAGAAAACCAATGGATGAATGGCTTCTCCTGCCTTTTGCCTTTTTTAATTTAGCTTCAACAGTAACCGTATACACACATGTAAATTATGAGTAGTGGTCCACCTTTGCCACGACGTGTTTACCGGGGGCCACGGGGCCCTCTTGTGTTGGTGAAAGGGAGCAGGAGCTGTAGTTTTAAAAGTGTCTTTCAGCTCTTCATCTTAGTGTTCGTATGGCTGTCGTAGCTGCTTCCCCCTCGGCGCTGAAAACATAATTCTTTGGACAGGGCTTGGCTAGATTCTTCTCACAAATAGAGCAATGAAATATTAATATTATTGAATGTCATTAAAAAAAACGAAAAACAATAGAACTGTTCTGAAGAGCCGGCTCTCATCTGGAGACGATCGCTGCTGAAGCTCCGTGGGTGTGAAGGGGTCAGGGGTGCAGCAGCGGGAACAACAAATATTTAAAGACTTTTCTTCGATTACCGTAGTGAAATCTGCCTAAACAATGCAATCTTTTTTCTGTATCAGAGTACTGTTATTTTAGACGTTGACATGTGGAATGTATACAAAAAAAAAAAAAACCGGTCCGAGCGGATCACCGCTTCGGACTCGGGATGTTTTCTACCGCTTTTTAGGAGACGCCTGCATGACAGGTAGAGGCTTTAGAGATGAGTCGTGTTCTCGTGGTCTTAGCACAGTCACGGTAGAAAATGTCCGCTTGGCGTCATCGTTCAACAACCCACTTTCCCCCCCCGCCCTCTCTCACTTTGCCTTCATCTTCATTCAACACTAATCCAAGCCGAGATGTCACTAACTACACATTCCTCACTCTCACAGTGAAACCAAGTGTTTTATTTCAATGCATTGCCTTCATGATCATTAGTTTACTGAAATCTACATGTGGTGGTTTGACGTTTGTGGTGTGAGTGTGCAGAGTTAATGTCTAGTTATTTTTTTAATTATTTCTCCTGTGTGTCCGTGTGTGGTTGAGGATTATCTGTAACCATCTCTTCTTCTGTTGATCGTTCATCCTTTAAAGAATCCTGCTCTAGAGAATAATTCTGAATATATCTTACTATGCTTGTCAAATTATTCCTCTGTCACAGAGTGTACACATTAAAGTCCCTTCTACTGTCAATCCGCCAATAAACTATTTGCACATCTCTCTCGTCTCTTTCTCTGTTAATGACAAACGTCTGAATGTAGGTCATGCCTCACTTTACACACTTAGTTTTTACAGGTTAACTGGATGATGTCAAAAGTACAGAGGTTGTATACCTTAGAGTACTGATTATACTGCATTTTTTACCAAATGAGGTTGAGTTTAACATATTTTTAATAACCCTTGTGAACGTTAAAGCTGCTTAGCTAAGCAGGCAAATGCCCCAGAGCCCTGAACCGTCATAGAAGTACTCCGACCAGTTACTCAAGTAAAAGTAGGAGTACAATAATCCAAAAATGCACCAGTACAAAGGCCCTCAATTCAAAAATGTTACTTAAGTATTATCAGCAAAATGGGGCTTTAATGGATACAAAAATGTTGAATTATTCCTTTATTTTAGATGAAGTTAAGTGTTTTTTGAAAGCCACTGCTGGATTAAAGATGAATTAACTATGTTTCTCGCTCCTCTGAAGGTAAATTAATCCATTTAGCAGAACCACAAACAAATCAACATATATTTGTTTAATCTGAAGGAGGAATCATTGACAGACGCATTAGTCTTCTTGTAGCCCAATAAACCCTAATTTAACTCGACTACAAGGAGAATTAGCTCATTTCCCATAGTGTCAAAGTTTTGCTTTAAGGTTGGGATCATCGTTGTTGGGTTTAAACTATAATGCTTTATACATTTGTGTTATGGGGGACAGAATATGACTTTTAAGTATAAATAAATATTGAAACATTAATTTATTCATTCATACAATTATGTATGTATTGTGTTGATATTTAAGTCATGTTTGGTCCTCCGTACCTCGTTGCATTAGTGGAGGAAAATGAAAGCGAAGCAGCACATGTGATCTGCAGCCTGTCACCGACCCGTCCAGTCAAGAAGCAGGAAACGTTCCTCCCACTTTGTGTTCGCAGAGACTTCAGTTTGTATCGGCAGTAATTTACCGTTTCAATCCTCAGATTATTAAAGAAGCTTTCGGTGGAGCAGATTAGTGATGATTTGTGATTGAGTGTTGTGAGGTAAGTCATCATTTCATGTCAATTCTCCTGCGCACGGTAGTCGCGTGAGTCGTGTTTTACTGTTCAGCAGCATTAAACCGACAGATGTTAAGATGTCTTCCACGTCTGTTCAGAGGAACATGTTCTCAGGTTTTAATTAAGTGAACTTTCCTAAAGATTGTGTTAAGATGTGAAAAGGCTCGCGTGTACAGCTAAACAATAGTTACAATCCGCGTTTCATATATTTAAATTAGCAACCAAAGTGATTCAGATCCTGCGAGTCAACCACAGAATAGAAGTAGAAGTACTGCAATATAAAAATACTGCAATATAAAAATACTGCATTACAAGTAAAAGTGCTGCTTCAGTTGTCATGTGCCTCTGAGTGTGTTGATCTGTATTATATTATTGAATTATTACATGCATGTGTTTGCAGCACTTTGTTGTTGTAGTTGGTTAAGGTGGAGCTAGTTTGAACTATTGTATGTGCTGTTTTGTTTGTTTAACTCAATAATAATGCGTCATATTTTATGTAGAAATGTGCAAAGTCAGCACATTACTTCAGGGCAGCATAACAAAGAAATGTTAAAATAGTGGAATTAGTCCAAATCCATCTGGTGAGTGTGTATATATATATATATATATATATATATATATATATATATATATATTTCCATGTTCTGCTACTTTGTACTTTATACTTGAAACATGACATGATGCAGTACTTTTCTACTAATCTACTCAGTAGTATACAAAGTATCCACATTGACAAACTACTAAAATGCTCTTACATGTATTTTTTAAAATGAAGAAGTGTGACATTCTATAATAACGTAACACTTTAAAATGCCTCATTCTGTTTAATGTTACGTTTACTTTTTCATGTAGCTGTAAATGAACATTTTGAAATCAGGACTTTTATCTGTGATAGAGTATTTTTAAACTTTACTTAAGGATTTGTGTATTTCTTCCAGTGAGTCGTCACACAGTCTGGTACTGACAGTATTAAAGGGTTTTACTAAGTTGCAGTAGCACCATAATATAATGTAACTGAAGGTGTTTTCCTTCCCACACTGCAGACTCCGCTCACATCCTGACGTTTAGCACAAGAATGAGCTTTTATTGGCCATTTAAAGGTTGTTGTAGAGAAGTTCTGTCTACTTTAGGTTCTTTGATCAAAAAAGCAAATGATCCAGCGCTTTTTAGCGGCTATAGCACAATTTAATTAGGAATTATTCATTAATGGTCAACGCACAATACTCTAAAAGGACCTTTAATGTTGCACTGGGTCTACACACTGTAAGTAGGCTGACTGATGAGAGTGAGTTTTACATTTTTTGTCTCGCTTTCCTTCTACAGACGGGGCTTTTTCTTTCGATAAACGTATCATGGTTACGTCAGCGTTGAACAGCAAAAGCCCAGCGGGACCTGATCCGACCGAAGGGACGGAGAATGTGAAAACACTGAAGCCTTTCCCTCAGTACGGCGCCATGAGCGGACACTCATCGGGAGAAACCTGCCCCACCTGTCGAGGCACCGGTAGGATTCCCAGAGGTTGGTTTTTGTTTTTTTTTGCCATGAAAAAAATCTTCTGATTACATTTTAAAGCAACTTCAGTGCCTCAACAAAGGTCACTGAGACCCTCAAACAACATCCAACAACTAAGGGAACCAAGTCAAATAGAAAGTCACCAACATGTCCGTGCAGCTGCCAAATGTTCCACTTTCATTTCATCTTTGTTGTGTTGAAAATATCTTATTTGTTTTTTGTTTCGGCTACAAAATACAATTTGAAAAACATTTTGATACATTACAAATTTACAATATGACACATCGAAACACAAATAAAAACAAAACTGAGGTAAAAAAAAAGGGGGTTATATCTATACATATAAAATGTCTCACTTTACCATAAAACCAAAACGTTGGAAGGAGATTATTTTTGTGTCTTTTTGTGTGTTGACAGGCCATGCAGACCAGCTGGTGGCTGTGATACCGTGTAATGATGTGAGGCTGAAACCCAGACGCACGTAAGTGATGACTGTACATGTGCATGTGTGCCGTTATAGTTTTGAACAGGCCAGTCAGTTGAAATGAAGATAAACAGATTGTTTTTCCACACACATAGTTAGGCTGAGTGTGTTTATGTCTGTTGGACATGTTCGTAAAAGGTTTAGTTTAGTTTAGTTTGCACGATTTAAAAAAATACACAAACATAACAGAGATAAATAATATCACAGTGCAGGAAGAGGCCTCCACCTATACAATATTATAGAGAACACAAAATTACATAAGATACGACTACGTAATATTGATGACAAAGTATTTGAACAAGATATAATATGTCATTCATAATTGTGCATGTTTGCATTGTACTCTAGGATGCTGTACGTGTGCTTCTCCATGGTTCTGTGCCTCCTGCTGTGCTGTCTGATCCTCTTCTTCCTCTTCCCCCGGAGCGTCACCCTCACGCCCGTGTCTGTGCTGTCGGTCATGGTCTACTTCACCCCAGATTCCGTCGACATGAGGGTCACCGTAAGTAGTAGGAGCGCCTAACGCAGTGCATGGAAGTCTGTGCTTTCAAAATGACTTTGCAGAGGAAGTGTAACGCATGTGCAGGGATTGTTTTTGTGTCTATGGTACAGGAAGTAGAGGAAGTAGATTTGCTACAGTATTCTGCCCTAAAAAGCCTAAAATACAGCGGCTTCCGGGATTGGGTGAAAACTAGAATATATATATATATATATATATTATCAAGGTGCTCTATATTTAATAAAATAAATACAACGGCAGTAGAGAAGTGAATCAAAGGCACAGAGGATACACAACACAAGATACACTGTATCCTTCTATTTATATTTATACAAAATATTATGCATGCATTACAAAGTTGTACATATCTGTGTGTATGTCACTGAACTCCCTTAACCATCACATTTTTACTGTGTGTGTCAAAACACTGTCTGAATCGCGTTCACGTGACTGTAGTTATGTGAAGGACAAAGTTCCCCGAGACTCTTTAACGATGGAAAGGTGTGTGCGTTTGCACCCGACGATGAGCTGTGTGCGTTTCCTCTCCTAGAATCTCATCAACATCTCCAACGAGAACTTTTTCCCGGTTCAGATCGTCGAGTTAAACATTCAGGGTCTGGTCCTCAGAGCAATTGTCGGAACTACCAAGATTACTAACATGACCACCATCCCGTCCTGCTCACAGAAATCGGTGAGTTTCACATTTACAATATACTGTTGGTGTATTTGTCATGCAATTCATTTCTTACCCTTCGTTGCTTTGCAGGACACCATTCAAATTGACCTGTCTATTATCGACAAAGGCCTAAAGTAAGTCAGGGTTATTGTGTGAAAATTATATAATACAACATCCATCATTGTTGTTTCTATGTCCATGCATCTATACTGCTTTTATCTGTTTCAGCGAGTACTGCAAGTCCAGCTCTATCAAGATTCACACGTTATTTCTGGAGCTGCAGTAAGTGTCAATCTCAACCTAAATAATCATCGTAGGAGGCGGCGGCCGCGTCGCAGCACATCTCAAACCCACACGGTCACAAGCCACAACGGCAAAACAGCTTCTCTCTGAAGAAGAAGGGTCGAATCTTAATATCTGAAATGTTTCTTTTAGATAAAAGTACAGGCACACAAGGGTTCGTTTCTGTTTTTAGAGTTCGGAAATAAGTGGCATTTAACCACACAAAACAAACTTTGGCTTTTTTAGTTTTCACTTCCGTTTTGTTTGCACACAAAGAAGACGTTCTTGCGTGTGACCTCAATGCTTTGTACCTCGAGTGTGGTCAAGAGTTTCCTCCCCGCAAACCTCTTGTGAGGCAGACTGCACCAATGAAAGACTTCTGTAGGTTGGAAAACAAAGTGTTAAAAGACACTAAAAAAGTCTGTAGAGCAACATTACATGAGTCCTTTTGTCTACAAGACACATTGATTAGTTCTGCTTTAAAACATTATGAAGACATGCTGTCTCTAATAATGTCTTTTCTTCTTTTTCCTCCCCAGAATGACGATGAATATTTCTTATCTCTCTCACACGGAGCAGCTGTCTCTGGACACCTTTGAGTATATTGACTGTGGCGCCAATTCAACAATCCCTCATCCTGTGAGATGATGAAATCTAAATGAAAAACGCTGAAGTGGGAGTGTGAAATAATGAATATTCTGGCTGCATTGCACCCCATCTCCTCTTCTGTGTGTGACTTTGTGAATGATAACCACTGTGAAAATGCATCTAATCCATCCAGTGATTCGTGTCTTTTACTTAAAGGTTCTATATACAGGACTCGGAGCATTAATATAACATCAAAGTACTATAGTCTATGTTAAGATACAGTGGAGTAATGTCTACCTGAGCAGAGTGTGTGTTCAAATCGGAGCTTCTCTGCTTCGTTTACATTGCCAGCCGTGTATGCATTTTAGTGAATTTCTTTTATAGCCACATGCATTACTAGAATAATATAAACATAAAATAGCACAATAATAATAAATATTTTTCTTTCCATCATCAAACCAGGCGGCAACCTCTAGTTCTGAAAAGTGAAGCTTCATGTGTTGAAGCTGCATTCTCTCTAGTGCCCACCAGGGGGCGACTCCTCTGGTTGTATAGAAGTCTATGAGAAAATGACTCTACTTCTCTCTTGATTTATTACCTCAGTAAACATTGTAAACATGAGTTTATGGTCTCAATCTCTAGTTTCAAGTCTTCTTCAATACAGCACGATGTTCATTTAGTAGATTATGGTCCATTTAAAGTCAAACAGACCATAAAGCAGGGTATGATTTAGGGCGGGGCTACACGGTGATTGACAGGTCGCTGCAGCTTCCAGAGCCGTATAAAAAACGTCTCCTGTGTGCAAAATAGTTGTGTCCGAACAGTTGAGGCAACAATACTAGCCAATCACAGCACAGTAGGGCGGTACTAGGCAGAACCCAAAACAGGTAAACAGTGTTAGCTCTGTTGCCGTTGTTAGCACTGTTGGCTTCTAGCCACTGACTCCATGTTGAGCCGTGTGGAGGCAATAGATGCACTCTGAATCTGCCATTGAGCACCTTTTAAGAAAAACTCCTGATACAACCGTGTAAAAATGTATTTAATAATTTAATTGTCTTATTCTGTATGTTGTTTTAGCATACCTTAAGACCTTCAGCACAATGTTAAGATTAACAAACGATGTTTCAATTACACTTTTATGTTAAAATGAATGTTTTTGCTCTTATTTGATTGAGATCTGCCTGTAAATCTGTATTACAGGCAAAGTGGCTTCATGTGTGAAACAAGCACAATATCTTACATTAATGAAGGTGACGGCTGTGTATGTTATTCAAAGATGTGTAAATTCCTTAAAGCTGTAACTAATTTCACACCGTTTGTGGGTGGGATATATTGTGTAAGGATGTTAATCTCTGATGATCTTGTCCGAGTCATTTGCACTTCATTAAACTGTGGCACTTACAGTTCTGCATGTTTTTTGGTTTGCTGGTACATTTCTAGACCGTTTCCATCTTCACACTGCAGTATATTGTGGACTGATTTGATCCTCATTGTGTTGGAGTGGTGCTGGATCAATAGCTGCTGAGGGGTTGACATGTCTGGAGACCTTGTCTACCGTATGGAGAAAGTCCCAACAGTGTGCACACTCACTACACCTCCCACATAACTCATGATGACCTCATGACAGGCCCACCCTTTATCCATACGGCCATGTCACGATGTCTGTTTTGACATCGTGACTCAAATAACAAAAAACGACTGACGAATGACAAAGTATTTTTACATTTTGGCATTATTTTTTACTTAACTCAAGGATATGAGTACTTCTTCCACGAATGTTGGTTAAAATGTTCAGATTAAAATCCGATCAAAGAGTGGCGTGTGTTTGCAGCTCTGATAGAAAATACAGTTTATTGATTTTTATTTTTCACGTCAGCACAGATCAGAATGTTCTACGTTTTTCAATAAAATACCGAGTATAAAAAACATAATATTCTACATGAAGACTCACATTTAGCTCCACTTCATGAGAGTGGACACAGGGTGGAGCCAATGCTTTGTTAGACTGTAGACAAGCTATGGTGTACTCAACTGGTGTATATATATACTGTGTTATTAATGTCATTTCATGGGATCAGCAGCTGCAACATGTAAGTGATGTACACATAGTCCAGTATTTATTACATTCATAATGTTGAAATGGGCCGTTCTGCATAATGAGTACTTTTACTTTTAAGTATATTTTTAATGCTTAATACGTGCAGTTCACCTCAGATACCGGAAGGGGGCGCGGAGCAGCACGTCCAGGTGACCGTGACGTCACCAGGGCTCTTTCGGTGCCGCTGTGAGCTCGTGCCACTCCGGAGAGCTCCTCAGTGCTGCTGGATGAGAACAGGAGCGGATGTGACCGCCGGGACGACCGTAATCCGTTAACCATGGACGTGTTTATTGCTTGTGGATGATGTTTTCTTGCTGCACATTTGAAAGGTATGAACGTTTCTTTTTTCATTGTTTTTACACGGAGGACAGTTTCTCGTGTTGGTGATTTAATTATGTCATATGTGTGACCTGCATTCATGTTTATATTAGTAGCTTTAAATCCCTTAAAGTTAACCTCACAGGATCATGTCGGATGTTTTGAAGTTTAATTTTAAATTTGTGCTTGAAACGTCATGTTAATAACATGCAATAAACTGGATGGCTCCGTAGAGAGGAATAAAACTATAGGTGGCTTATTCCCAAAAGAAACATTTTAAAAATGCAATCAAGTAACAAAAACATTCGACTCACAGACAGACATTGTTCCTGTATCAACAATGCTCGTTGAATAACACTCTTATAATATGCAGCACCAGGATTTTCCTGCACGTGAGTCAATAATAGATATCTCCCTGCAAACACGCGATGTCTGTATTGTGGCCAAAGGCAGCTGTGTGATGGGTATCAGGATGTCAACAACAACCGGATTAGTGCTGCTGCAGCAGTCCTCCCAGACCGGAGAGAATACACGATTTTATCATCCACTGCATTGAAATCAATGGAGGAAAAGCCTTTTCAGGTTTTTAAGCAGAGTTAAGAGGATTTAGGCTCGAGACGACCTCAGCCAGCCAATCGGCTGTCGGTTTGGCTCTGTAATGTGACCCGAGACATTTATCGTTTTATATGGTCAGAATAAGTTAATCAAGTCTGCAGCAAATTGTCTTAAAGTGATGTCGATGAAATTTAAACACTTTCAAATGCGCCTCCACTGATAATCATCACTGTTGTAAATCTTCTTTGAGAGATTGTGAATTAGCAGCTGGCTTTGCAAACACACATACATCCCCCATTGTCTTCTCATTAAGTATTAACTCTGTTTGTTTTGCTCTCCAGCACCGTCTGATCCCATCGGCCTCTGAGGACGAGGACCAAATGCCACTCGACTGAAAAAATAAAGGATTAAATCAGGAATCTGTCACCTCACCTAAGTAGGTGTGAATTGCCGGCTGCAATCATGGGGAACCAGCTGACTGATATCGCTCCCAACACGTCCTTCCTGCCAAACTTCCAGTCTCTGCACGTGGTGGTCATCGGGCTCGACTCGGCCGGCAAAACCTCCCTGCTCTACAGGCTCAAGCTGAAGGAGTTTGTGAAGACGATCCCCACCAAGGGCTTCAACACGGAGAAGATCAAGGTGGCCGTGGGCCCGTCCAGGACCATAAACTTCCAGGTGTGGGATGTGGGCGGCCAGGAGAAGCTGCGCCCCCTGTGGAAGTCTTACACCCGGCGGACGGACGGGATGGTGTTCGTGGTGGACTCCACTGAGCTGGAGCGGATGGAGGAGGCCAAAGTGGAGCTCCACAAGATCACCCGCACCTCGGAGAACCAGGGGGTCCCGGTGCTCATCCTGGCCAACAAGCAGGACCGGGACTCGGCCTCGCCCGTCGGCGAGGTGGAGAAGCTGCTCTCCGTCCACGAACTGAGCACGTGCACGCTGCATCACGTGCAGAGCTGCAGCGCCGTGGACGGCCGGGGGCTGCAGCCGGGCCTGGAGAAACTTTACGAGATGATACTGAAGAGGAAGAAGATGGTGAAGCACAACAGGAACAGAAGGAGGTGAACTCTTGGACTCGCACCGTGGAGATTTATCCACGGTTGAGACGCTTCCAAGCCTGATGGCCCCTTTTTAACGGGAGAGCGATTTGTGCCGACACAACAACAATTACACGCGGCCGCAGGGTCAGGAGAAATGGATGTGCTCATAATAATTGAAGCGGTTTTGACATATTCTTCGTCCTGCAGCTGCCCGTCAAACGTTTTAGATTTAAAAGGGAACCTTGAGCAGTTAGTCTTCACTAAGTGCTTTTCTACACCTGTTTTAAAGAATAACTATAGCAAGATATCTGCCTGTTATCTGTAGGACTAATATTACATTCATGTTTCAGTCCCTATAATATACAACATCCTTATACTCCTTCACAAGCTTGCACAGATTCTGTCCCACTAAATTGCTGTTTTTGTTCCACAAATGCTTCCCTGAAATATTTATTCCACATTTTTTTGTGTTTGTGTTGTTGTTTGATGTGAAAGGAAACGGAGTTCGGTGGTGACGGAGCACCACGAGATATTCAATGTCATTGCCATGGAACTGTAATCCGAAGTGCATTCCCTTTCGTGGCCACAGAGGTTAAGTTTCAGTTACTATATTAATAATGTTTATACAAATTGTACATTTTTGTAACACTGAAGACCTAATAAATCTACGCACTGTACAGAACATTCATTGCTTTCGTTGTAGTTAATGGAAGTGAATGGAACCCTTTGATGGTTTTGGTTGGAGCCCGAGAACTTTATATATTAAATATTGAGCCAAATTATTAAATATTTCCAGGAAAGATTTGGGCTTATAAATATAGGCTCTAATCAATATTTTTATATTAACACGGTTTTGAAAGATTGTGCATGATGTTTCCTCAGTTCCTCTACGGAGCATTTTAGCATTTTTTTGGCCGCAAATTTGACTTTACTCACCGCTCTGACTTCGTATCGACTGCAGCATTCAGCTGTTTTATGTGAAAAAGCAACACTGTGTCCAGCACCAAACTACAGACGGGCAAAGTGATCACCTATCTGGGGAACATAGCGGAGCGTTTAGCAGCTAAAGAGACAGATATTTCCCTCAGGAGTTGGTGGAGACCAAAAACAGAGCTACAAAGAGTGAATTTCGGACTTATATTTGCCAGGTGGACACAAACATAAATCCAAATGAATGATAATGTGGTTCTGTGTCTGTTCAATGTGTTAATAGGCAACTCTTTACAAACAAGTTCACCATATTTCGGCAGGTCTTATTATTTTAGTTTTTGTTTCCGCCTCCCCCAAGTGGCCAAAATACAGTTCTTGTGTTCTTTCATTTCTGCACAATCTGAAACAGACATTTGTTGGATTATAAAATGACTGTTTAATGACCCAAGATAGACACAATCTAATAGAAAATGTGTCCTGAAATTGCTGTTTTTCTAATAAACAAGTGCATATATACACTATAAATACATATTATGCAGCTACATTGAAGTGAAGGATTCCTGGTGCAAACAAACGCAACACGATCTCCCAGAAACCTTTGAAGACCTTTCCGTCACAAACACGTCTCTATAGAAACACACGTCGTGGCTGTTTGTTTTTGCATTTACAATTCAAGGTCATCAGAACACCAGATTTCTGACGTGTCATGTAACAGTTTATTGTTGCTGCGTCATTTCAAGAGCAGCAGAAACCACTAAACCTACTAGTGGCGATTCTGAAGGCCTTAAAGGGTTTAACAACCCACTCCTTTTTCCACAAATCTCTTAAGTTGCTACTTAAATGTGATATTGTGCAACAAATTCAAGGTTCAATCTGCAGGTCACACATTGCTGACCTGCATACCGTAAATGTGTGTGTGTGTGTGTGTGTGTGCGCTCCTGCTGCATAGTCATCTTGCTCTACATGATGAGATAACGACTTGTTACCTTTTCAAAAGTCTCCTGCTGAGTGTTCTTTAATGGTGAATGTCAAAACAGACATAAATGTATGCGCATGTAATATGAAAAGACACCTACACACACACACACACACACCATCTTGACTTGTGCGACCTCACCGTCCCCATTATCAACATCGCTGAGCTCATTAAAACTTTCAAGGGTGTCTTTTGCAGAATCATCTTGACACAGCAGCTGGTCCCTGAATAAATTAGCATCACGATGGCGGTGCTTTCAACAGCTGAGACACACTGTGGTCATGCGGAGGCATCACTCCGCCAACGAAAGAAAAACACTGTGATTCTGTCAGTACAAGGTGTAAAAGACACAGTAGCAGCTACAAGGAAACAGTGTATTGCACACTTGATTTACTGATTGATCGACTCCAGAGAAGGAGAGGGGGAGCTGCCTGTGCATGTCTTTACATGTTCCTGTCGCACTCCGTGTCCGTCTCTTGCTGCTTATGTTTTAGGTGCAATTGCGGCCGACAGGAAATATGCAGGAGAGGGAAGACTTGGGGATTATGTGTCAGGGATTAGATGCCACGTAGCTCGGTGTATCCCTGGAGTCATGTGACTCAAAGGCAGGCTTAGTCAGTCAATCATAAACCCAAGGACAGAAACAATCCTGAGGTTTCTTCCTGTTTCCCTCAAAAGACACATGGAAGGACTGCGAGGGGGGAGCCGGCTGTAAAAGGCTACATACATGACTGTGAGGGTTAAGCCATGCAGGGTTCTCATGCTGCAATCCAATGTGCTCCCGCTTGCAATGGATTGCAGCATGAGGCGCAGCGTTGCTTTGAGCTAATGTCAGCATGCCAACGTGCCCACTATGAAATTAGATATTTCACTCTGGAACTGGACTTGACGAACCGACCACATCGGCATTCATAGAGCCACGTTGTGCACGAACACAAATCTCAAACCGAGGGACGAGTTTATTCCTCTTCTCAAAAACATGAAGGAAAAACAAAAGTCAAATAATTGTCCGGATAAATAGCAACAGAGCAATAACTCTCTCCTGCTTTATAGCCCCCGTGATGGAAAGCAAAGGGACCGCTGGGCACAAATCCAAGCCCCTTAAACGCGTCCAAACGAGGCCTATAGGCATCATTTTTCTGTCGCCATGGCAACCCCGGAGTCAGCATGTCACTAAAATGGTGACCCGAGAGGGCAGCCGGGGGGGTCGAAGTGGCTTTCTGTGGCTGAACGTCCAATCCAGCCGAGGTTACTCAGCGGGCAGGGAGATTAGAACAAGAAGCTCCGATCAATATACGAGAATCCTGATATCGGTCTTCCTCCTCTTCTTTATCTCCCTCCCTCTGACTTATCTCCCTCCCTCTGACTTAATTCATTGTCTTCTTCTTTAAAAGTTGTTGACAACCTTTGTTTTGTTTGCTCTTTCACTCTCTTTGGCTCCGTAGGGGGAAATACCTCAAATTTCAGACCAACAGTGTCTTTCTAGGAAACCTTGTTGACATTGCTGTGTGTGTGAGTGTGTGTGTGTGTGTGTGTGGGGGGGGGGGGGGGGGGGGGGGGGGGGG